GAGTCGTCAGGAAGTGGAATAGCCTAGCAAGTGAAGTAGTGGAGGCAGGAACCATACATAGTTTTAAGAAAAGGTATGACAAAGCTCAGGAAGCAGAGAGGGAGAGGACCTAGTAGCGATCAGTGAAGAGGCGGGGCCAGGAGTTCAGACTCGACCCCTGCAACCTCAACTAGGTGAGTACAACTAGATGAGTACACACACACACACATACACACGCACACACATAGTCCTTAGAATAAAATAAGAACTTTATTTCATTGTTTTATATTATATATATATATATATATATATATATATATATATATATATATATATATATATATATATATATATATATATATATAATATTTATATATATATATGTTTATATATAATGATATTTTGTCTGTTGCTATACTGGGAATCAAAGCTCATACTGAGGTAGGCTGTAGAATACAAAATGATGACGTTTATTATTATTACTTTAAACTATATTGTCGTAAAAACTATGGTAAAAATATTCGTCTGTTTCTCCCTCTTTTTTTTTTAACCATGTCCCATAAATCCCAATTTCCTGGAAAGGCAGGTATGAAAAGAATTGCAACTATCTGTATGCAAATCTCAAGAGAATCGTCAAATAGATCGAAAGGTACACGTGAAAGACTTGGGAATAATTACGTCAGCTGATCTTTCTGTCAAACAACACGATAAGACAAAGGTCACGACAGCCAGGAGGATGACGGGGTGGGTAATGGGAACCTTTAAAACAAGGGAAATAATGTCAGCAGTGACACTCTTCAAATCGCTAGTGCTCCCTCATTTGGAACATTTCTCAGTGTTGAGGACCTTGTTCGGGGCAGGAGATATATCAGAGCTGGACCAAATACAGAAATCGTTTACGGACCACATAGAGCCAATAAAACATTTAAATTACTGGGAACACCTTAAAGTCCTAAATATGTACTCATTGGAGTAGAGAGAGATACATGATAATATATACCTGGAAAGTACTCGAGGCCCTAGTCCCAAATCTGCACACTGACATAACAGCATACTGAAGCGAGAGATATGGGAGGAAGTGTAAAATAAACCCAGTGAAAAAACAGGGGTGTGGTGGGCACAATAAGGGAAAACCGTATCAACATCTGTGGCCCCAGATTATTCAACATCTTACCATAGGATATTAGAAACACTGCTGGAAGAGGTGTATAAGTTTTCAGGAGGAAACTAGACAAGTATCTTCAGGTGCCAGATCAACCAGGCTGTGATGGATATGTGGCGCTGGGAGCCACTAGCAGTAAGAGCCTGGTTGACCAAGCTAGCACCAGACGAGCCTGGCCATGGGAGTAGGAAGACTTCCGAAACTGATCAAAGATATATGTATCTTTATACACAGTTTATTCACCGAAACACACTTGTACTAATATATGGGTGCTAGCCAAGTTGTTTACTCGCTGGCCTGGAGTTTTAGGATTCACTGGCCATGGTTCCAATCCCCACCAGTTCCGTGGTTTGTTTGCAATCGTCTTATTACGATTTCGTGAGTCATGACCTACAGACATTTTCGCCCCAGTACTTAGGCTACTGGGGCGAAATGTGGATCATTCAAAATTAATCTGCAGATCATAAAATCTTAATATAACTTTAATCTACTAAAGGTCTCGGTATTTTATTGTTGGCATTGAACACCCATTAGAGTTGTTAAGCCAAGATACAAAGGATCGCTGACAGTGGACATATGTTTGAGATCCTTTTGCATTTTAAAGCTGTGGTATGTCTTTCCCTTCACTAGGAAGTGTCCTTGTTTATTTTTTCTTTAAGTCATTTCAACCAGTTGACCAGACCAAGCCAGTTTCTTAATAATTCATAATAAAATACATCCACCAGTATTGATGAAAATTACTGGAGATTGAATGAACTGAGTGTGACTTTATCACTGAGAATTTCCGTTTCTTTTAAAATTGGAGAGTTTATAAGACACTATTATCTTGAAAAAGTATATTTTAGATCGAGGTGTACGTTCACCTCGGAAAAGACAGACAGCGATTGATGGTGAATCCGTTTTTCTTCTTTGCGTTACTATTTGAAAAAAAAAAAAATAGCGTGTATTTAAAGACTCACACCAAATGTTTCAAAAATCGAGCAAAAAAAATATGGTGAAGTTTGTGTATTATTGTGCCGGTGGTTTGCACAGTCATGATCACATTTACTTAGTGATGTTAATCTTTATTCAGTAAGTAAAGAATGTCTCGTCGCATCAGCTTCAAAATATTAATACATTCTCCAAGAATGATGGCGCCCTTTAAGTTTTGACTGTATTATTATTATTATAATCAAGGGGGAAGCGCTAAACCCGTAGGATTATACAGCGCCCAGGGGGGGATGTGGAAGGCATTCAGGCTTAATTCGGGGAACTGGAGCACAGATTCAATTCCCTAAATCAAGAGCCCCTCACCAACATCAAGGAACCTTCCATGAGGGGAGTTTTGACTGTAGAAGTACAAATTTGAAAATTCGTAAAAACTTGGAATCGTTGGGCTCAGAGGAATAACCTGAGAATGCCATTTCTGATAGGCTTCAAACTTTCAGTGTTGGTTGTTTTATTAAAAAGAAATCTTGGATATTATTTTGAGCTATGCAAATGTTAAATTACCAATTTATTTAATGAAAATTATATAATAAACTTAATTGGTCAGCTCACTGTAACTGTTCATATAGCTTAATTAGAAGTAGTTTTGTATTTGGACTTCGCTAATTATGTAGATTTTTTATTAAATTGTACTTTCTACAAAACACAAAATCAAATATTTTTCTTAGAGGATTGTAGAGAGTTTTAAATATAATTAAGTGAGAAAAAGAAAACTCAGAAATATTGAAAACTCGTATATTTTTAATAGTATTTTTAAACTTAACGGGTTTAGTGAGTTGGTAAATGCTGTAATATTTAATGCCAGAGTTGGTACATTGTTAGGTACAATGTTTTTGTTTTTACAATCTTCCTCCCAAGTTATCATGTATAACTTCAGAATGCCTTATTCGAACGGTTTCAAATTTTCACCCTGGTTATTTATTCCTAGGTGAAGGTGTGTGAACAAATTGGAAAGTTTACGTGGCCTCGGTTTGATTTTATATACCTGGAGGGTGTTTCGGGGGTCACCGCCCCCGCGGCCCGGCCTCACGTCCATGAAATTGTTTTCTATGTAATTGGCTTCCAAGTTTCAATACTCAAGTATTGTATTTAAAATATGCTTGTTATTGTTGATGGAGTGTGAGACACTGTTTTCCCACTTTTAATCTGGAAATGATATACTATAATAGTTAATAGTTTGTATTAAACCACTTGTGTTACCTTCATGAAACGGAAGTGTTTTGATACTAGTGAGGGGCTCTTGATCCATGGAAGCTCTGATCTTCAAGCGTTTAGTGCTCATGTGTTTTCCTCAAAGGAAGCTTCTTGATTCTAGGTTGTGTAAGTTTTAGTGTGCCAGTTTTATTAAACTGGTTTCTGTGAGATAACTGGAGAGAGTCTTATGATCAGACATATATCAGTGTTGGACTTTATTGCGTTATATTAGGGTAAATCTACATAATGTGTGTTTGTGTCCATAACATCTCTCTGCCCTCAACATCATTATAAAAAAAAATATGTACCCAAAGCTTAATTACCTACTTAAACCTTAAACATTGGTCAGTCTTACCTAGAGAAAAGATTGGATTAATATTGGCCTGTGTAGGTCTCGATTTTCCTTTTTTTTATGGGAGAAATTGGTAAAATCAAAATAATATTTTTCATGGGATAATTTCTGAGTGCCGTTCCTAGTGGCTTCAACCCTTCAACACTAATAACTTGATAATGCAACTTTAGAGCAGCTTCAAACTTGATGTGCTTGTGTATTGTAGGACACTGATCTCAGAGATACCAGAAGAATTCCTCTTCAATTTATCTTCAAAGCTGGTGTTTCTTAGTGAAGACTTGAATTAGCTTTGGGGTGTGTATATTTTAATGTCATTTTTTATAAGAAATTTGAATATTTGTTTCCATGTGATGACTTGTAAATGCCTCCTTTGATTCGTTTCAAATCTTCAACACTAATATTTAAGTGCATTAGAAACTTCTGCCACACATAACACTATTCCCGTCGTGGGCATTGAGTCACAGGGGGCTGGGGTTATGCAATTCAGGGATATCCTACTTAGATTGTGCAGCAACCAAAATATATCTAGGTATTAGATAGAATTCCTAAGTCAGAGAAAATAATGTAAGTAGAGGAGTTTATCAACTGCTTCATAAACGTTTCTTTTCTTATATTTTCTATATAATGGAGGGTCGACCCAGGGAAGGAGATTTTATACATTTTAATCAGAGGAAAGTGTTGAACACACAGTGGTCATATAGTGCTTAGGGACTGTGATATATTCAGGTTCGATCCAAGGGGAGATTAAGTCCAATTCCTTGGATCAAGAGCCCCACACCGGCCTGAAGGCAGTTCCTTGAAGGGCTTTGTTATAAAACAGACTTATTAGTGGGGCACTAATAAAGATAACAATGTGACAAAAAAAAGACAAAAATGGGAAGGCAAGACTTGAGATAACAAGTAATTTTGTAATTGCTATTGTATGAAGTTTTTATTTATTCCGGCTAAAGGAGCGTCCACACCCACCTGACCTTGGCTGTCTCATCTTATTGTTCCATTATGTCACTTGTACCTTTGTCAACCTGATGATAGTCTAGAGTAGAAAATCTCTTGGAACTCATCAAAGGTGAACTATAACGGAGAAAGCTGCAGCTGCCACCTCTACACTCTTCTACATTGGCTCACTATTAAGATGTATACATTGACACACTGCCAACTCTCTAATCATTACTTTCTTCTAGTATTGCATGAATGGGGAAGCATTAAACCTACTTAGTATTTAAGGTATCCTTGCTGCTATTACACAGGTGGATTGCAGGTTAAATGAACCATAACACTGCAGTACTTTGTGAACTATTGTCAAGTGATGACGATATTGTTTTTCAGGGAGTTCGACAGATATCAGCTGAGTCTGGGCGTGAAGAAGCAGTCTCCGCTAATCATCAACGCTGAGGAGCCCCGGGAGGCCACTTTCGATACCAATCTCGAGCCTGGCAGAACTTACAACGTCCTCATCAAGACCGTGTCTGGCAATGTGGCCTCCTGGCCCACTACTGGCAATGTTACTACTAGTGAGTAGCCTTACCTCGTGTTGTCTCAATCCTCGCATTACGTCCTACTTTGTTCTTACCTCATCCTACCTACCTACCTCTTCCTATCTGCTTCCTACTGTTTATCTGTTTACCTCCTACCTCTTTCTACTTGCCTTGTAACTCTACATAAGAGTAGTATAGAGGTGAATGGACTGAACAGTAACAGTGGAAGTGACCTCCTGGAGTTTACCTGAAGAGGGTTTCGGGGGTCATCGCCCCTGCGGCCCGGTCTCAGACCAGGTCTCGTGGTGGATCAGGGTCTGATCAACCAGGCTGTTACTGCTGGCCGCACGCAAGCTGACGTACGAACCACAGCCCAGTTGGTCAGGTACTGACTTTAGGTGCCTGTCCAGTGCCTTCTTCAAGACAGCCAGGGGTCCATTGGTAATCCCCCTTATAAGAACATAAGAAAGAAGGAACACTGCAACAGGCCTACTGACCCATGCGGAGCAGGTCCATGCCCCCCCCCCCGGATTAGCCCAATAACCCACCCAGTCTGATCATCTCCACTCAAGGATGGAGCACTGCACCAGACCAGCAGCACAAGCTAGTCAGGTCTAACTCACACCCACTCATGTATTTATCTAACCTATTTTTAAAAACTACACAACGTTTTAGCCTGAAAACTATACTCAGGAGTTTTTTCCCACTCATCCACAACTCTATTCCCAAACCAGTGCTTTCTTTTTCCTTTTCTGAATCTGAATTTTCCAACTTGAAACCCAAATTGCTGCGAGCCCCTTGTCTTGGCTGGAAATTTTCAGCAGCTATTTCATCCCCTTTATTTATTCCGTTTATACACCTCGATCATATCCCCTAATTCTACGCCTTTTGAGAGAGTGCAGATTCAGGGCCCAGTCTATCCTCAGGGGGAAAGTTTTCTGATACATGGGATCATATTTGTCATCCTCCTCTGTACGTTTTCCAGAGCATTTTATATCCATTCTGTAATACGGTGACCAGAACTGAGCAGCATAGTCTAAATGAGGCCTAAGCAAGGATATATAGAGTTGAAAAATAACCTGAGGACTTCTATTATTTATACTTCTAGATATGAACCCAAAGAATTCTGTTAGCTCATTGCGAACACTAATGCATTGTTGTCTTGGTTTTAAATTACTGCTAACCAGAACTCCTAAATCCTTTTTGCAATCAGTAGTATTAGGATCTACATTATTTAGTTTATATGTGGCATGGTTTTTACCTGTCCAAAATTTTTGAACTTTGCATTGTCATATTAAACTGCATCTGCCACTTCTCCGACCATTGCATCAGTCTATTCAAATCATCCTAGAGTGCTCTAGTGTCCTCATTAGAATGAATTGGACGGCCTATTTTGGTGTCATCAGCAAATTTGCTTACGTCGCTATTTATTCCCTCATCTATGTTCGTTTATGTAAATTTGGAACAACAACGGGCCCAACACTGACCCCTGAGGAACACCGCTTGTGTTTTACCCCCATTCTGATTTTTTCCCCATTTATACAAACACTCTGCTGTCTATTGTCAGCCATGCCTCTACCCAGGAAAAAATTTCTCCTCCTATTCCCTGTGCCTTAAGTTCCTCAATAGCCTCTGGTGTGGAACTCTATCGAAAGCCTTACTGAAGTCCATATACCAATATCATATTCGTTACCATGATCTACCTCCTCAAACACCTTAGTGAAAAAAGTTAGTAAATTTGTAAGACAGGAATGCCCCTTTTGTAAAGCCATGTTGAGATCTTTAAAATCATCTGTGCCTGTCAAGATGGCTTACGAATTGCTTCGGCAATTATTGATTCCATAATTTTCCCACTATGGGAGGTAAGGCTTATTGGTCTATAGTTCGAAGCCAAGGACCTGTCACCTCCCTTGTAAATAGGTATTACATTGCCATTTTCCACTTATCAGGCACTATGCCAGTTTGTAGTGTAGGGTTAAAAAGATTAGCCAAAGGTATGCCAAGTTCCTCTTTACATTCCTTTAACACCCTTGAAAACATTTCATCAGGGCCCTGGGGATTTGTTAGGTTTTAGTTTCTCTATTTGCCCTGAGGACCATGTCACTAGTTACGCAATCGTACATATTTATCATCACCCTGTTCTACATAATCTATTATTTCAGGAATATCGCTAGTATTTTCCTGGGTGAAAATGAGAGGAAGTGGTATTTAAAATTTTTCCACATATCCTTATCACTGCCCAGTGATCTGACCAAAGTTACTCTTAAGTGGGCCAATCTTGTCCCAAAATCTTACTTCTGTATACCTGAAAGAATCCTTTAGGGTTAATCTTGAATCCCTTGCGACCTTAGCCTCATAATCCCTTTTTGCTTTTCTTATTTTTTCTTTATTTCTCTCTTTAATTGAATGTATTGATTTCTTAACTGCCCATCCCTCTTTTGATACCCCTATATATGCCTCTATTTTGACAATGAGATGTTTTAATCTACTGTTCATCCATTTGGGATCATTTTTGTTAGATCTAATTTCCCTACTGGGACAAAAGTTGTCTGGGCAGCTAGAACTATGCTCTAAAAAACGTCATATTGGCAACCAAATCACCTACCTGCCCCTTAGTCAAGACTTCCCAATTTAGCCCACCCGGTAATTTTTTCAGTCCCCATGAAGTCTGCCCCCATGAAATTCGGGGGACAGAGATTTGATTGCAGTTATCTGGGTAATTCCATGATATATTAAAACTAAGTGATTTGTGATCACTTTCCCCAAGCTCATCATTAACCTCAAGATTATTAATTAGTGAATCTTTGTTGGCAAGAACCAAGTCAAGCAGATTGTTTCCTCTAGTTGGTTCTGTCACAACCTGTTCTAAAAAAGCAATCCTGAACCATATCAAGAAAGTCACTAGACTCAAGATTTCCTGTCATATTGTTCCAATCAATTTGTCTAAAGTTAAAGTCTCCCATTATAACAACATTTTTATATCTAGATGCCTTATGAATTTCGTCCCATAACAGCTTACTGCCCTCCCTATCAAGGTTTGGGGGCCTATAAATCACACCCAAAATTAATCTGTCATGTCCCTCAAGAAACTGTAGCCAAACAGATTCTGTGTTCGATGTCTCTAATCTTATATTATGTCTAAGACAACAATTTAAATTTTCTCTGACATTCATCGCCACCCCACCACCCTTCCTGTTGACCCTGTCAGTGTGGAATAGTTTATAACCCTGTATGTTGCATTCAGAAGGCATTTCTCTATCTTTCAGGTTGAACCAGGTCTCTGTTATACCAATAATATCTTTATTACCTACACTTCCAAGTAATCTTAGCTCATCTATCTTATTTCTTAGACTCCTACTGTTTGTATAGTAAACTTTAAGGGAGCTAGTCACTAGTTGCCCTCTACTATCCCTCTTTGTTTGTTGATCAATTGATTTGCCATTACTAGCAACTGCTGGGAGGCAATTGAACAGTCTTGAGCCCCAGACACTTATTGTGTTGTCTCTCAGTGTACTCGTGGCTCCCCTGCTTTTCATCGGGGGAATGTTGCGTCTCCTGCTGAGTCTTTTGCTTTCATATGGAGGGATTTTCGTGTGCAGGTTTGGTACCAATCCCTCCAGGACCTTCCAAGTGTATATTATCATGCATCTCTCTCGCCTGCATTCGAGGGAATACAGATCAAGGACCTTCAACTTCCACACAGTGATTCAAAATAAAATTGGCAACTATTTCATATCAGTTGACCGAAAGTTAAGTGGCATGGCTAAGAAATGCACCTCAAAAGTAGCCAGATTATATATTTTTAAGCTGCCGAAAGGCTATTAATATGGAACATCACATGCAAAGTACAGTGTATGACCAACAAAAGTCAGAGGAGATTGTGGCCTGCAAAAATAAAGTAACATACCCCAACGGTTAGTTCTTGGACCCATACATTAATGTGTATCAGCGACCTCTCTGGCGAAATCGAGTCCTACATGTCGCCGACATTTACAGATGTAAAACTTGTAAAATGAATGTAAAAGGAAGAGTATTGCAAAAGCCTGTTTGAAGACATGGAATGGGCATGTTAGTGGTTACGTAGGTTGAATCCTAACAAGTGCAAGGCGATGAGGATGGGAAGAGAAAAATGTATTTGAAGAGTCAAACCCATGCGAGTTGTTCAGCGCATGGAGTATTGGATGCTTAATCGTCCGTCCATTAGCCAGACACCAAGCTTTTCCCTCAACTGAGATGGCAGCGTTGGAAAGAGAAAAGTATGTGCGAGTTTAGATAACATCAGACTTATTGCCAGAGGTTCACGCAAAGTGGATAATATCAGCAGCATAAGTCGTAGCCGAGGTTGTAAAATAAAAAAAATTCCTTCAAGAACTTGAACATGGAATTAGTCAGAATATTGTATACCATGTATCAGTACCAGAGGCGTCGCTAGAATTGGTGTCACCCTGGGCAGCATCTCTGGTGTCACCCCCATGAAATTCAAGGGCTGGGGATGGGGGGGGGTAAACTCCAGTTATGTCACTACTGCATGATCAGTGACTAATGTTTAACAATGAGAACGTTTAAGGGCCATAAACCGAACAGGAGAATACTTCTCAACTTTATTAATGATAAAATAAATAATCGTAGTAATATTGAGGAAACATAAACTCAAATACCATTTTGAGTACAGCTAACAGATCCTACATTTATTCATCTTCATCAATGCAAAAAAAAAAAAAAACTTGAAAAATAAAGAAAAACATTGCAATACCAGAGAAATACTAGTTCCAATTTGACTTTGAGTACAGGTAACATCTCAGTGTATCTGATCTTACATTTCCTTGCCTTCAGTTATGCAAAATCATCTATCACATCATCAAAATCAATTATTTTCCCTATATAGGCTTATTTGTACTTTGTTAATATATATAATAGGCTATACGGAAACGAAGGATTCTTCTCTTATGTTGGTGCAGCACTGTTTTGGGCATTAGTGTCACCTTCTTTAGAGGCTCTATGGTGTCACCTTCTTTAGAGGCTCTATGGTATCACCCCCTAAATGGTGTCACCCGGGGCAGACCGCCCCCCCCTTACGACGCCCCTGATCAGTACATAACATTAGTGTGGAGACCTCACCTGAGCACACAAAAAGCTTGAGCTGTAAGACTTTATCTACAAGAAAAAAATAAGCTGAATCTAGCATCAGATGGAGAAGACTTAGGAGAGATATCATAGTGCATAAATGTACTCGGGAGTATTGAAAAGGTAGGCAGACAGACTTACAATGGAGGGACCAGAACGAGAGGGCACTGATGTAAACTAAACTAAAAAATGAGTCCAAGGAATTTCGCAAGTGAGCTTATGTGGGAGGATAATAAGCAAATGAGAGCAATTATTAAGGGGTAACGGAAGCTGACTACATACATGCATACGTACATGGATACATAAATGGATTCAAGAGTGTGCAGGATACATCTACAGATTAGAAATGAAATGCACCACCAGTCAGTCAAGCGCTGAGAGGCAGATCATAAGTGTTTAAGCTGTGAACACATACAGCTAGGTGAGTGAGTATACTTTGGTCAGTACACATAGAAACTACTTTAATGACTCATGTTTCATATATAATATCATTATGTTACTGCATTTCTTAGGACCACTGAGTGTATTGGAACTGACTGCAGTGGAACAGGAAGACACAAGAGAAGTTAAGTTGTCATGGGTACCTGACTCGGCCTCCACTCAGGATCGCTACAAGGTGAGTGCCATACCTCTAATTTGATAGAAATAAATTTGTATACGCATTAAAGGGATCATGTAAGCAAATGACATTAAAAGCAAAATCTGTAGAGATACGACAGGTATTTTATAAGAAAATGGTGTAGATATATAAGGAGTGTTCCGGCAAAAAGTGTAGACACGGAAAATACTGAAGGAAAAAGGTGATGAAACATGAAAAAGATCATGAAACCAAGAGGTACATACATAATAAAAGACAGCGAGGGGCAATTGAAAGGTATAAATATATGAAAAAAAGGGTGGGTGGTGTGTTAAGGCATTTTTGGAGAGAAAGAAAGAAGTTAATTTATGGAAGCAAAAACACACACACACAAAAAACAGGAAATGTGCCAGAGTACAGTGGTACCAACTTTTTTTTTATGGTTGGGAGATATGAGTTTTGATATGAGTTTTGGCCAGCGGCAGCAGAAATATGTTTGAGAGGAATGCGTGATGTGAATATCATGCAGAGAATTCGGAGCAGAGAGATTAAAAGGCGAGCGAGGTCATCATGGGTATGATTCCGAAGGCTAAGGAGGGGTTGTTGAGGTGTTTTAGGCAAACAGATAAGATCGAGATGGATAGGATGATAAAGTGAGTGTATAAATCTGGAATGGAAGGTAGGAGGGGATTGTCTAGGAACGGTTGGAAGGAGGGGGTAAAGAAGGCTTTTAGTTTTAGGGGATTAAGCATCCAGCAAGCTTGTGTGAGTACTAGATTAAGAGTGAATGGAGACAAGTGGTTTTTAATGGAGGTGCTGCTAGAGCAAGGTTATATTTATGAAAGGATTCAGAGAGACCAGTTAGCCAGTCTCGAGTCTGGGAGGTGGAAAGGGCAACACCTGCACTCTGAAGGAGGGGTGGGGATGTTGCAGTCAGAGTATAATTTAAAATGTGATGTAAATACACTTTCAACAGGACTACAATTGAATGAATAATGATGCTTGTGTTTCCTTCTTTGGGTCACCCTGCCTTGGCAGGAGATTGCCATTGAGGTAAAAAAAAAAATACATGAAAAGGCATTTGTATGCCAAAGAAGACATGAAAGGGGCCGTGCTTCTCTAAAAAAAAGTTTCTATGTGAGAAGGAGTATACAAGCAGTAGATGTTGAGATATGAAAGAAGGCACCCAGACACAGGTGTAGAGACACGCAAGGAAGGGTCTTCTGCCATGGTTGTAGTTTACTTCAGACATGTTGCTCTACTCCATGCCATAATGTAATTAGTGAAATTTACTTAAAACTCCATGAAAGAGACTGACAAAATTTATGAGAACAGGGTTGCAATTTTATATAGACCATTCCAGGATTTGGTTTTTATGTGATAACTTGAGAAAGCCTCTTGTGTTCAGTTTTAAAAATCAGGATGGGTGTATCGTACTTAGAAGGTTGGGATTGTTGTAGGAGTTTTATTGAGTTTTATTGAATTGTGAAAATTAAATGATGAATAAGACATATACAATACCTAGATAACAACACATCTTCATAATAAAGAAGCTCAGGTGTTGCACATTTGTCATGTTTATCATAATAATAATAATAATCAAGGGGGAAGCGCTAAACCCAGAGGATTATACAGCGCCTGGGGGGAGGATGTGGAAGGCATTCAGGCTTAATTCGGGTAACTGGAGCACAGATCCAATTCCCTAAATCAAGAGCCCCTCACCAACATCAAGGAACCTTCCTTGAGGGGTCATGTTCATCAACTTGTTGTATTGTGTACAGTACCATTAATATATGAAATTTGTGAATGCTTCACTATTTAGCTTCAAAATTTCAACATTGATGCATTTTACTCAGAGGGAACTTTGTATTGTTACTGGACTGTGTAGGTACCAATGTGTAACATTTTACTTCCACCTCTCTCTATACATAAGAGCTCAGTTCAGGAATATTTATCCAACCACAATGTGAGTTTCAATATAAACGTGGCTACAGTAAAAAAAATGATTTAATTTTCCCCCATAGGTTCTGCATTGATTACAGTTTTTTCTTCCATTAAAAATTGTTTTATGTCCATAATACATATTTTATGTTAAAAAAAGTTGAGAATTTTTGTGTGCTGAAGTTCCAGAATTTATATACTGTACACACGTCAACAGGTGGTGTACCAAGAGGTGGAAACTTACAACGGTGATTCCCGCACCAGGATAGTGACAGACACACATGCTGTAGAAGAGCTGTATCCTGGTAGAAACTATTCCATCTCTGTTGCTGCTGTCTCAAATAGCATTGAGAGTGATCCTGCCTCACAAATATATATTGCCACTAGTAAGTTTCTCTTACATTTGTTTTTCTCAAAAAGAGATAAAATATTGTACATTGTAATGTAGATAATCCAGAATGCGGTGGTCCCTTGAATTACAATAATTTTGAGTTACGACATACTCTCATAAAGGAATTTAGTTTTGAGTTGTAGTGGAAAATTTGAGGTACAATACGTGTATGATGGTCAGGCGTGCAGGCGTTGTTGAGCCTCAGCCCAGAGACAAGACAGAAGGATGAAAAGATCTTAAATGGTGGAGGGAGTGTTGGAGGTGAGTGGGAGGGAGGGAGGGAGGCAGGAAGACAGGACAGGAGAGATGGAGACGGTATCTGTACCTGTTCCAGATGTGGTGGTTGGGGGGAGGATGCTGCGGCAAGAGTAAATATTAAATTTACAGTTCTTTACTAATCTCTACCTGCCTCCTTGCCCAACCCTGTCATGCCCTGCCTGCTCTGTCCTGTCCTGTCCTGCTCTGGCCTATCTGGTCCTGCCTTGCCTGCTTTGTCTTATCCTGTCCTGCCCTACTTACTCAGGCCTGTCCTGTGCTGCCCTGCCCTGCCCTGCCCAGCCTGCTCTGACTTGTCTTTTCCTGCCTGCTCTGCCCTGTCCTGCCTGCTCTGTCCTGCCCAGCTTCCTCTGGCCTGTCTAGTCCTGCCCAGCCTGCTCTGGCCTGTCCTATCCTGTCATGTCCTGTCCTGCCTGCTCTGTCCTCTCCTGCCTGCTCTATCCTGTCCTGGCCAGCCTTCTCTGGGCCTTTCCGTCCTGACCAGCCTGCTCTGGCCTGTCTAGTCCTACCTTGCTTGCTCTGGCTTGTCCTGTCTCTCCTTGCCTACACAGGCCTGTCTTGCCCTGCCTTGCCTTCTCTGGCCTGTCCTGCCCTGTCTTGCCTTCTCTGGTCTGTCTTACCCTCAGCCTGCCTTGCCTGAGATGCCTGCTGTGGTCTGCTTACCCTGCCTTGCCTGTCTGCTTCCCTGCCTGTCTTTCATGGAGTGATGGTGGAGGGTGTGTTGGAGGTTATTGGGATGGAGAGAGAGGGGATATTGTGTATGAACAAGGGAAGGAGGAAGAGAGGCAGGAACGGAAGGGAATTGACTAGTACAGTACGTGTACGATGATGGTGTACCGTACTAGAGGCTTACATGTCAACAATTCTTTACCAGTCTTTGCCTGCCTGCTTGCTCTGGCCTGTCCTGCCTTACCTGCCTTGGGCTGTCCTGCCTTACCTGCCTTGGCCTGTTCTGCCCTGCCTTCTCTAGCCTGCCCTTCCCTGTCTGCCCTGTCTTGCCTCTTTTGCCAATTCCTTTGGAGATTTCCAGCTGAAGCCTTGCTTGTGTACCACTCAGAAAAACCTAGAGTGTTTAAACAACAAAAAAGTATCTAAGAGCAGGTTGTGTGTTCTGGCATCTTGGAATGAATTACCATAAAGCCATGTATTTTGGGGTTTGAGTTACAATAGTTTTGACATGAGATATGTCTTCTGGAACAGATTAATATCGTACCTCGAGGGATCATTGTACTCTGGGGCCCTTTGAGGTATTTTGAATTGTGAATTTTTTTTATATTGTAAATATAATCATGTACTTTGTATATTCTCAGACCCACAGTATATAGACATCAATGGATTTGGCAAAATAAATAAGAAAAGACAAAAATAAATTTAATCCTCATTACTAACTTCATTGTAGCATTGGTTGAAGACTGTTCATAATATATTCACTTCATAAATTATTTAAATAGTATTTTGCCCACTGTCTGTAATTATTATTTAATTTCTTCATACATAGAGCCGGCATCTCCCATTATTGAGGAATTACAGCCAATAACTCGTGGACTCAACATCTCGTGGAAGAGTGATGTAACCTCCAAACAGGAAAAATATGCTGTTGTTTATGTTAGAAATGACACAGGTAATCATAACTTTTTTATTATGAGAGTGTAAGAATAAAGAAAAATATTTAAAAAACTGTCTTTTTTAAAAGAAAAGTACATGACTTGGTGTAAGATGTACAATTGTTGGTATCTATTGTGTATGGATGAAGTACATCTCACTAATTTTAATTAATTTTTTAACACATTGGCTATTACTCCCAAAGCATGTTAGCTGAAATAATTATTAATTTACCATAATTAATTAATTTACCATAAGTAATTGTGGAATAAGTAAAGTAATTGCGATATACTGTGATATACTTAGTTCTTAGAGTAGGTGGATATTTAGTATAGTACATAGAGCTTTTAGAAGTGTAATATGGCTTTGCTTCTCTCTCTCTCTTTTTTTTCTTTTTCTTTTTTATAACAAGTTGGCCATCTCCCACCGAGGCAGGGTGACCCAAAAAGAAAGAAAATCCCCAAAAAGAAAATACTTTCATCATCATTCAACACTTTCACCTCACTCACACATAATCACTGTTTTTGCAGAAGTGCTCAGAATACAAAAGTTTAGAGGTACATATATTAAGATACACAACATATCCCTCCAGACTGCTAATATCCCAAACCTCTCCTTTAAAGTACAGGCATTGTACTTCCCATTTCCAGGACTCAAGTCCTATTTGTTAATATTAGTTAGTTACAGTTTTCTATAGAATGATTGGATTTTACTGCTATATTTAGCTTATCAAGAACTTGATGAGTGTTTGTTTTTATATTGTTGCAGCTGAATCAGTAACTCGTCAGACAGTTGATGCCCATGTGCTCTTGGAAGATTTATTTCCTGGTGCTGGCTATGAGATTAAGGTGTATGCCATATCACATAGTCTCTGGAGTGAGCCTCATGTATACTTTCAGGCAGTGTGTAAGTTCATATCATATTATTTATTTAAGTCATGTAATAACTAGAATAACTTCTAATAGATATTTGTTTGCAAACATTTTCAGAGTTAAATTTTTACATATTTGACTGTTTATGGTTGTAGAATAATCAGTTTATTAAATTTGGAGTTTTCATTATTTTGTTCCTTTCATATTAGAAACATCAACTTCTGACAAAGCAATTTTTTCATATTAAATATCCTTGTAATTAATAGAAGACATTTTATTAGTGATTCATGGAAAAGAATGTGAAACAAATCCTCTACAATATTGCCCTGATCATGCATTTTCAGATCCAAACTCTGTGCGGAACTTAACAATAATAGATACCACCAACACTTCAGTTACATTAGCGTGGCGAGCACCCATTGAGTCCCTCTTCACACATTATATTGTGCGGTGAGTTTTGTTGATTTTAAGAAAATTATTATCGATTTCACACAATTAGTTAATGTGTATAATAATAATATATTGCAATTTTATTTTAACACATGGCCATCTCCCACCAAGGTAAGGTGACCTGAAAAAGAAAAACAATTTCACCATCATTCACTTGTCACAGTCTTGCTTGAGGTGTGCTGATACTACAGTTCAGATGTCCCTCCTTCAGAGTGCAGGCACTGTACTTCCCACCTGCACAATTTAAGTCCTGATAGCTCGTTTTTCTGAATCCCTTGACAAAAATTACCTTGTTCACACTCCAATGGCCTCCACTCCTATTAGACACACTCACACACGCCTACTGGATGTCCAAGCCCCTAGCACACACATCCTCCTTTACCCCCTCCCTCCAGCCTTTCCTATAGTGACCGCTACCCCATTTTCTTTCCACTTCAGATATATACACTCCAAGTCATCCTATTTGCTCCATCCTCTTTAAATGTCCAAACCATCTCAGCAACCCCTCATCAGCTCTTTGGATATTACTGTCAGTAACCACGTACCTCCTAACCTCCAAGCTACAAATTCTCTGCATAATATTTATGCCACACTACATCTCCACTGCCTCCAGCCTCCTCCTCGCTGCAACATTCACAACCCATGCTTCACACCCATATAAGAGTGTTGGCACCATTACACTATACATTACCCTTTTTGCCTCCATAGATAATGTTCTTTGTCTCCACAGATGCCTCAATGTGCCACTCACCTTTTTCCTCTCATCAATTTGTTGGTTCACTTCATCTTTCAGAGACTCGAGTCCACTCCCAAATATTTTGTTAACACACTGGCTGTCTCCCATAGAGGCACAGTGACCTGAAAAAGGAACACTTTCACCATCATTTACAATCACTGTCTTGCTAGAGTATACCTGGAGAGGGTTTCAGGGGTCAACACCCCCCATGGCTTGGTCGGAGACCAGGCCTCATGATGGATCAAGGTCTGACCAACCAGGCTGTTGCTGCTGGCCGCACACAAACTGACGTACAAACCACAGCCCGGCTGGTCAGATACTGACTTTAGGTGCCTGTCCAGTGCCTTCTTGAAGACAGCCAGGGGTCTATTGGTAATCCCCCTTATGTATGCTGGGAAGCAGTTGAACAGTCTTGGGCCCTTGACACTTATTGTGTTCTCTCAGTGTACTCTTGGCACCCCTGCTTTTCATTGGGGAAATGTTGCATCTCCTGCCAAGTCTTTTGCTTTTATAGGGAGTGATTTTGTGTACAGGTTAGATACTAATCCCTCTAGGATTTTCCAAGTGTATATTATCATGTATCTCTCTTTCCTGCATTCCAGGGAATACAAATCAGAGGACTGCAACCACTCCCAGTAATTTAGGTGCCTTATCGTACTTACGTGTGCCATGAAAGTTCTTTGTACACTCTCCAGGTCAACAATTTTGCCTGCCTTGAAGGGGGCAGTTAGTGTACAGCAGTATTCCAGCCTACAGAGAACAAGCAGTTTGAAGAGAATTGTCATGGTCTTGGCATCCCTTGTTTTGAAGGTTGTGCAAGAATGGTATACAATACCGACAAGATGAAATTAAGACACATGTGCAACATCTGGGTATCTTTATTGTAGACGTTTCGCCATCCAGTGGCTTTATCAATACAAATTCCAGGACATAACTTGAAGACAGCAGAACTTTTTTTTTTTTTTTTTTTTTTTTTTTTTTTTTTTTTTTTTTTTTTTTTTTTTTTTTTTCAACAAGTCGGCCGTCTCCCACCGAGGCAGGGTGACCCAAAAAAAAAGAAAGAAAATCCCCAAAAAGAAAATACTTTCATCATCATTCAACACTTTCACCACACTCACACATTATCACTGCTTTTGCAGAGGTGCTCAGAATACAACAGTTTAGAAGCATATACGTATAGAGATACACAACATATCCCTCCAAACTGCCAATATCCCAAACCCCTCCTTTAAAGTGCAGGCATTGTACTTCCCATTTCCAGGACTCAAGTCTGACTATATGAAAATAACCGGTTTCCCTGAATCCCTTCACTAAATATTACCCTGCTCACACTCCAACAGATCGTCAGGTCCCAAGTATCATTCGTCTCCATTCACTCCTATCTAACACGCTCATGCACGCTTGCTGGAAGTCCAAGCCCCTCACCCACAAAACCTCCTTTACCCCCTCTTTCCAACTAAAATGCCGGGAACAATGGGCTAGTAACCCCTTTTCCTGTAAAGATTACTAAAAAGAATAAGAAGACAGCAGAACTATATACAGAAAATGAGGTAATCAATCCCTCAACCTTGGAGTTGGTGTGAAGAGCACTGTAGTCGTAGAGATGCTGAAGCAGAAACAAGGAGTCTGACGCTTTTATACTAATGTCAGATGGAAAGGGGACGTGTAGCAGATGAGGGCATAGTCACTGGTAGGCAGGATTCCCCAGTGGAAGTAGGTCCTACCCGAAGAGATGGGTTAGTTGTAGTAGTAGTTGACGTAGTTGCCAGGCTCCTTGCTTCTGCTTCAGAATCTCTACGACTACGGTGCTCTTCGCACCAACTCCAAGGTTGAGGGACTGATTACCTCATTTTCTGTATATAGTTCTGCTGTCTTCAACTCATGTCCTGGAATTTGCATTGATAAAGCCACTGGATGGCGAAACATCTACAATAAAGATACCCAGATGTTGCACATGTGTCTTAATTTCATCAGTTTTCAAGGTTCTCATTATCCATTCTATCACTTTACTAGCAGATGCAATAGATGCATTGTTGTGGTCGTTGAAGGCGAGATCCTCTGACATTATCACTCCCAGGTCCTCCACATTACTTTTTTGCTCTATTGTATGGTTAGAATTTGTTGTATACCCTGATACAGTTTTAATTTCCTCAAGTTTTCCATATCTGAGTACAGCCTCTCCTCACTTAGAGATGTACTCGTTAACTGATGCCTTGGACTTACGATGGGCTCTCTGATCAGTATTCGTACCTAAATAACGTATATTAGAGCCGATTTCCTCTATTCTGTTTCCTTCCTTCCTGTTGTTTATTTTAAAAATATACCAGAAATGTTATAAATGGTGCAAAGGTGACAGTAAAACAATATCAAAGTTGGTTGACACAAACTCACTACCATTATAATTTGCTCCTCACTTATCGACGAATTTGTTTAACGACATGGCTTAGGAATGGAACTCCGTCATTAAGTGAGGAGAGGCTGTAGTTGAAATTTCTCTTCAATGAACTTCATATTGTTTTGAGTGGCCCATTTGAAGATTTGATTGATGTCCGCTTGGAGTCTTGTAGTGTCTTCGACGGAGGACACTGTCATGGCAATTCAGGTGTCATCCGCAAAGGAAGACATGGCTTACGTCTCTGTCTATGTCAGATATGAGGATGAGGAATAGGATGGGAGTGAGTACTGTGCCTTGTAGAACAGAGCTTTTCACTGTAGCTGCCTCGGACTTTACTCTGTTTACTATTACTCTTTGTGTTCTATTTGTCAGGAAGTTATAGATCCATCTACCAACTTTTCCTGTTATTCCTTTATCATGTATTTTGTGCGCTCTTACACCGTGGTCACACTTGTTGAAGGCTTTTGCAAAGTCTGTGTATACTACATCTGCATTTTGTTTATCCTCTATAGCATCAAGGACCTTGTCATAGTGACACACAGATATGACAGTTTACATGTCCTGGATTCCAAACAGCAAATGTCCCAAACCCCTCATTTAGAGTGTAGGCACTGTAGTTTCCACATCCAGCTAACCTGTTTCTCTGAATTCCTTCACAAAATATTACCTTGCTCACACTCCAACACCTCATCAAATACCAAAAACCATTTATCTCTACTCACTCCTATCTGACACACTCGCACATGCCTTCTGTATGTCGAAGCCCCAAATATCTGAACAAATTCACTTCATACTCCTTCCTTCCAATCTCTGAATAAGTAAGTTTATTCAGGTATACACAAATTCAGTTACAGTACATAGATTATCATACATAGCAGCAGTATATGTGTAGAGAACCTAGGATAACTCAAAAAAGTCAAAGTGACTTATTTCCGTTGGGGTCCTGATATCTCCCTCCTTCCGATCTGATATCCAGTCTTTCATTAGCTTAATCATCACCTTTCTCTTTCCCGTGTTCACTTCTAATTTTCTTCTTTTACATTTTTTTTTTTTTAACAAGTCGGCCGTCTCCCACCGAGGCAGGGTGATCCAAAAATGAAAGAATATCCTCAAAAAGAAAATATTTTCATCATCATTCGACACTTTTACCTCACTCATACACAATCTATGTTTTTACAGAGGTGCCCAGAACACAACAGTTTAGAAGCATATACGTATAAAGAAATACAACATATCCCTCCAAACTGCCAATATCCCAAACCCCTCCTTTAAAGTGCAGGCATTGTGTTTCCCATTTCCAGTACTCAAGTCCAGATATACAGTGGACCCCCGCATAACGATCACCTCCCAATGCGACCAATTATGTAAGTGTATTTATGTAAGTGCATTTGTACGTGTATGTTTGGGGGTCTGAAATGGACTAATCTACTTCTCAATATTCCTTATGGGAACAAATTCGGTCAGTACTGGCACCTGAACATACTTCTGGAATGAAAAAATATCGTTAACCGGGGGTCCACTGTATAAAAATAACCGGTTTCCCTGAATCTCTTGACTAAATATTACCGTGCTCACACTCCAACAGCTCATCAGGTCCCAAATACCATTCGTCCTATCTAACACGCTCACGCGTGCTTCCTGGACGTCCAAGCCCCTTGCCCACAAAACCTCCTTTACCCCCCCTCTCCCCTCTCCATCCTTTTCGAGGATGACCCCTACCCCGCCTACCTTCCCCTACAGATTTATATGCTCTCCATGTCATTCTACTTTGATCCATTCTCTCTTAAGTGACCAAACGACCTCAACAACCCCTCCTCAGCCCTCTGACTAATACTTTTATTAACTCCACACCTTCTCCTAATTTCCACA